AGCAGGGCTTCCCAGGGACATAAGGCGGTGGGAATGGGTGAGCAAGTCAGGACCTTGCAACGTGAGCCCCCTCTGCAGTGTCACCTAAGGGCAGCCGCGCACATCTCTGCACAAATCAATGACTTCAGATCTTCTAATTCCCCTCTTCTCCCTCCGTACCCCTGTCCCTGTCCCTTGAAGACTTGCCCTTTCCCGGTGAGCTCATATTTAATTACCTTAATGTTGGAATAAATAAGTAATGGATTGATGAATAGCTTATGGAACGCGATAAATAATACAAAAGCAGACCAGTGCTCCGGGCTGCAGCCGCTGGAAGAATGGCTTCTCTCAGGACTGACTTCAGCTCCAGGAGCCAAACCTAATTTCCTCCTCTCTTCCCTCCTGCCCCCACCGTCTTCTAAAGGGCACAAGTACTCCAAACCGTATAGCGCTTCCCTCATTCTCAAATGGCCGTGACTGTTTGGGACCACTTGAAGAGCTGTTTAGAGAGCATAGTTACCAAGCAGATAGAGATTCCGAGGGTTGATTTGTGATTTGATATCTTAATGTTCTATACTTTAAATCGGAAGGCTTCTGGACTCGGTTTCCCTATCTGCGCGGTTGCATTTTCCAAGGCCACCTCTGCTACCGAGGAACGCTGAGAAGTTTTGCTTGCAATTAGCAAAAATGCTTCGGGAACCTCGCACGAAAGGCGCTGGATGGGGTGTAAATTAAATAAAACTGTGTCCGGCTCCAATAGCCGTCCGGTTGTAACATAATCTTTGTCCTGTTCTGAAAGGGACACTGCCCTCAAAGCGAGGACGACAACGGCTCCAAGAAGATTAAATAAAGAGGTGTGTGTGTGTGTGTGTGTGTGTGTGTGTGTGTGTGTGTGTGTGTGTGTGTGTAGATTGCAATGCTGGCCTATTTTACTGCCAGGGAAGGAGAGATGCCCTGCAATTTCAGTCCCATTATTTGTTATTTTGTGTATGTGTGGAGAATGCTTAGTAAAACTACACAAACAAATGAAGCTGTAATTATCTTAAGCCTCATTTGCACACCTTGTTCCAAAGCAATTATTAAAAAGATCTTGAAAACAATTAGCGTCTCTAAACAAAGATAATCTATTGTCAGTAGCTGAGACTGGCAGCAGATAAGAACAATGCGTGTAGATAAGGGGAGCCAAACAGTGGAAGGAGAGTGACTTTATGACTATACTTATCTCTGATTAGATAAGTTCAAAACAGAATTTTAAGTACACTTCAAAAATGCTTTTGATTTAAATGTGTCCTCTCAGTGATTGCAAAGAACAAACTCTAGGTCCTTTAAACTTGCTTGTCTTCTTTAAATATGTTTTTATTCCATCAGCAAGAGCCCAGCACGGCAGAACAATTTGCATATTGAGACATAAGTGGGAGAAGGAGAAGCACTGTGTGGGTTTCCCCTTTTATTATTTATATGGTTTTAAAATAATGCACCCAATCCAGTGCACCCTGCAATGTACACTTTAAACTCATGAAGGGTTTCTACCTCCTCGCTGTCCCTTGGGAGACTCTGAGTAGACACGAAGAGCTTCTCCTGCTGAACTTCCAAACAATGCTTTTTGTATCTTTGAAACCCTGTAGTATCCCATGCAATTAGACTTCAGGAAACAGATGCTGATATTTCATTATGTTTAGGATTATTTTAAAATGCATTTAATAGATGCATATTATTTCAAAAGTGCCCCTACCACATAGTGTGCCCAACGACTTGCTTTCTAAACTGGAAACCTGGCAAAGCGGAGCCCAAGCCCATGTGTCTGGTAATTTTCCCTCGCGGTCTTATTTTAGTGCTCATGATGTTTCAGATGAAGTCTTGAGGAACTGCAGTGTCCTGGCAGAAGGAATGTCTCTGCTTGGAACAGTCCTTATTGACATGGCAGCTGTGTGAGGATGGGATCAGAGGCTTAAACTCGCCTCTAAAAAAATCAGTTAATACCCTAAAGTTTAGAGCAAGTGCGCAGAACTACAATGTGTGTATATCGGTGGCTGGGGAGCAGGGTGGGAGACTGTAAGCACAACCAAGTCTCTTACAAGACAAAAGGGTAAGTTGAATATGCGGTGTACTCTATTATTAACAATTTTGCATGAGGAAATTAGGCATATCTTGGACAAAGAAGGGCAAGTATAAATTTGCAGGGGATGAAGAGGAGCGGAGTGATGAAAATTAGACACCAATATGACTACCCTTTTTTCGGCTTCTTCTCTTCAAAAGGAACCAAGACGTACTAGATGTTGGCGACAACTGGAAAGACATCCGTGTGGATGCGGCGATTTCGGGCACCTGGGTTGATGAGATATGGTGTTCATCCTTGAAGGCCATGCCCGGGCTCGCCAACCTCCTAGCGTTCAACCCAGTAGATCGCGTGACTAAAAAGGAAAAGTGCTATTCGGTTTATACCAATGAGCCTACCTGCTATTTCGATCCCTTGGTTAGGGGAACCAATTGTTATAAATGTTAATTATTGGCTCGGATATATAAGGTTTCCCAAAATGGAAGCTTTCACTGAAAACCACTAAAAGAGGTAAAATGACATGAATTTACAAACCACATAAACCAAATGATCCATTTTAAATCGCACACAGAAAGGTTTGAGTTGTTGTAGTAACTTAAAACCTTTTCCTGTCAATGCAAATCACAAGAAAACAGAGATGCGTCGGAGATTTAAAGACAACGAGCAACTCCAGCTGCTGCCCTCGTCGCTTCGCGGCTCCCGAGGGCAACGCGGCTGGAAAGGGGTTCCCAACGCCAGGTTTCAGTTCTTCTATGCCTCCTCTGTGCAGGTAACCCCCGGGTATGCACAACCGGTCTATGGAAAAGTCAATGCGGAAGCACAAGTTGGTGCTGGGTTTTCTCGGCCGGGTTGACATAAGGCCTTGGTTCAAAAACTTCTGGCCGGGATCCATTTGGTTCCCTTTTGGCTTGGAGCGAGATGCTTCGAGGCTCCCAGCCCGCTTTCTGGGAATTCCTTTACCATCAAGAAAGATAGGGGGATTCTACTCTACCTACAGATGTATGGAAGGGAAGGGCTTCGGGAGGAGTTTCTTCAATAAGTTAGCGTCGTCGTTCTGGGGTAATGCGGAGACTCCCCAAATTCTGGCTGAAGTGACAATTTCATCTTTTTCCTCCGCTTGGTCGGAAACTCCAAGTGCCCTCGACCCTTGGGATTCCAGGTTCCGACGGCGGCACGGCGCCGGAGCAGCCGTCCATCTGCCTCCTTGGGGACGCTGCTCCCCGCGAGCTCTGAATAGGGCGAGGGCTCAGGCAGGGCGATTTGAGGACCCGGAGAAGAGAAACTCAAAACTAGTCCATTAGTAAATGAGTTTTGTGTTGTCAAGGTTCTTTCCCATCCACTTGCTGTTCTGAAAAATAGATCACATTTCGTTATCTTTAGTGGGAATCTGCAACGTGACACCGGATCCGCGCGGCCCCCGCCTCTCTCCCTCCCTTCCTTCCAGCCTCGCTCCGCCGGGCCAAGGGGAGCCGGCCAGCCTCCTCGGTTTATTTCTGAACAATGAAGATTTGTCTGTTCCCTTAATATATTTATGTATGGCGGTGGGGGGGAAGGAGTTTTCTCCTGGAAGCGGGAAGCGCGAGAGCAGAGTCTCCCGCTTCCTTGGTGCGAAAACGCAGCCCCAGCCCAAAACGCAGGCAGACCGCCGCCCCCCGCCCACACCTGGACAAACAGAACGGGCTGCGAGCTCCGCTTGCCGCTAAAGACCCTGCCGCCCCGCGCGGCTCCTGAAAATACAGTCTCCACATTGTCCCGGGGTCGGGGAAAGGAGAAAGACAGGCTGGCTGAAACACACCGCCGCGAGGGAACTCAGATTGGAGGGGGACAGTGCTGGAGTCTGTATGTTTGGAGAGGTTATCCTCTTCCTGTGTGTGTGTCCCCACGTCTGGTCCCTTTCTAAATGGGTCTTTCTCTGTCTCTCCTTGTACCTAATCCTCTTTTCATTCTGAAAGACGAAGCTCATTCAGTGAACCTCCATTTCTCATTCCTTCCTTCTCTCTTATCTCCATCTCACACTCTCTTCTTTTCTTTCTTTCACTGTCTCATTCTTCTCATTGCTTCTCCTCTCCCCACCTCTCTCAAACACACACACACACACACACACACACACACACACACACACACACACTCTCCTCTGAATCCATCTATTTCTCTTTTTCTCTCTTTTTTCTCTCTCATCTCCTCCCTTCCTCAAGGTTCTGAGCACCTGTGCTTGTTTCTCCACAATCTGGTAATGTGGGGTTCACAGACAGTACGAGGTGCTGATGTCTCACACCTGAGGCAAATGGGACAAGTAGACTCCGAAGTCCAGGCGGGAACGTTGGTCTCAGTTGGTGGGGACTTGTCACTGAGGGGTAGAGTCATCAAAAGGTGGGTGCCCATGGGTAGGACTTAAGAAGGTAGGTTGGCCTCCTGGGGGAAAAGGGATGATTTAAGCTGTGCTCTGAGAAGGCTTAGGCCCAGAGACTCACTAACCCACAGATTTGAGCCAGAAGACACCACTCAACATCAGATGCCAAGCACCTTTCCGGAAAGTAAAGAAGAGTGTTATAAGAATCTGTTCTTAAGAATCTAAACACTCTTGCCTCCTTTGCTTTACTAATATTGCCTCCGGGAAAGTTTACAGAAAGGCACTCTCCAAGAATCCTTATCTTCCATTGAATTTTCAGTCGACTTTTTTTGGTCAGCTAATGTACATCCTGAATATCGCATCTGTCTAAGCTAAGAAGAATTTCCTTTTGGGAGGTGAAAGCCTGCAGCAACTCCTGTTTAGAGGAAAGTGCTAGTGACGGTAATGCAGGGTGACACTAAATAAACAGTTAGGGTGGACTGGAAAGATGGAGTTAATTATCCAGTGAGCTGCCTTTCAACCCAGACCATCAGGGGCTGATTTGTTTTGGCTCATAGTCCGAGGAAGGAGACAAACCACTCTCTTCTCTACATCTCTTAGGGATCCTGATCGTTTCTGTCTCAAACAAAACAAAAAACAAAAATCAGTACCCAGGTATCACTATTTCAATTAAAATTCGGTTTATTACTCCTTTTCAGATGCTGCAAAAATGTCCACTCCATTGCCCCATAGCTCTTGAGAGAAGACCCAAAATGACTTAAAAATGCACTCCCTAAATCTTTAGAGAATCAGTAAGTGAACATCCAACAAACCTCCCCATCTCTTCACTTGGATTTTTACAATAGGTTTGTAAAACTAGATGTTTATAAAATCTAAGATGTTGGCCTGGTTTTCCTTCCCACCCTCTCCAAAAAAAATCAGGCTTCGTGAAATTTTAGATGCAATTAGATTTATTGTTTTCGTGATTCACTGACTATCCGGTTTCCTCAGGTAAGCCTGCACTTATATATAAATCCTAGTAATTTAAAACTTCTCCCTCCCTACTTAGCTCTTCCCTCCCTCCCTTCACCCACCTCTCCTCCCCGCCACATTCTGATATTAATAATCCCCGGCTGCCCCTCTTTCCGGGTCATTACGGTACTGCTGGTCTCTAATCAATCCTAATGCGATGGCAATTGGAGTCCCTGATGACTGCGGCTCGGGTTTCTTGTAATGGCTCTACCACATTTTCCTGGACCTCCTTCTTTAACCTGAGATGCCAGGGGGACGAGTCCCTTCTCGGCTGCTGATTACTTCAAGATGTGGGGGCTGGTTTGAGCAGAAGGAGAAAGAGACACGCGCACAGCGTGGCTACCACTGCTGGCTGGGCGGCTGGGGCGAGCAAGGCGTCTGCACGCTAGGAGCCGACAACCGAACGCCTTTCACTACTCTTTTCTTTTCTCCCCATTTTCCAGGTCCAAACTCACCCTAGCGGACGGAGATGAAGAGTCTTAATGGTTTTGTTTTCCTCTGGTGCAGAGACGCCTCGTGGTCTCTGGGCCTCTGCAGTTCTCGCGGGTTCCCACTCTACAGCGTTCGCCCAGGCTCCCGGGACAGGCCTGCCCCTCACTCAGAAGTGAACGCCTCTCCCTAGTCCAGTTCAGAGCTTGCTCTTCTTTCCTCATGGTTGTCTTCTCCCAGGGCCATCCTCCTGCCCTAATTTTAGTGTGGTTGTCCAAAGAGGAACTGGATTCTTCCCCCATCTTACTCTCTGACCCTTGACCTCTCATCCCTTCCTTACCCCAGCGATGCCAGAAGCTCCCAACCTGTTCCCAAAGACGAGGCCAGAAGCTTGGCCCTGTCTTGTCGGGTTACGACCCCTTCTCTTCCGATCCCTGAAGGAGACTGTGGCTCAGAAAACTTTACCTCTAGGGATAAAGGCCCATCACTTCTTTCCGATTGGTGCCGTTGGGAGAGAGGGCCAAGAATGGGAACTTGTGCCGCACTTCCCTCTCCCTGGCTGAAATTTCGCTCGCCCCACCTACGCCTGTCCAGGCCTGGTAGAGAAGAGATCAGCACGTTCGCGGCATTTGTATTCTTCCATTTCTCAGCCTAAAGCCATTTAGCGTAACCGGAGCCCCGGATAATTGCCATGTTTCTGCTGCGATACTTTTAAAACCAAGATAATGCTTCTGAATTGCGGAAGAAAGTGCTGCGGACAAATCGGGCGCTGAGCTGCCGAGATGGATCGCTTTGTTAGGGGCGGCCGGTGGTTTGTGACTCAATTAGTGCATTTCTGGGAGCTGCCTGCGCTCTGCAGCCGGGTGAGCTTGAGGCGTACTCCCCCTGTGGCTCCTGGGCGCCGGGAACGGTCTGGGGGAAAGAGGAGCACTTCAGGCCTGTACCTATGTCGGTGCAAATCCACGCCATGAAAAATGCTTTTTAATCCCCACCCAAGTACATTGTGTGGGTTCTAAAGGATCCAGATTTTCGCAAACAGAAGCTTGACTGCCTCCGCTCCCGAATGGGCCGTGCGGCATTTGTCCGAAGCATCAGTCCTCTGGGCTGTGGGGAATGAAATACTGGGTGGAAGGTGCTTGGAGGGTACCCACTCACGCATGCCCCTCCGTGGTCTCGCCCATCCGGCTGGGCTTGTATTTTGCAACTACATTTCCAACACCGCTGCTGTACTTAGCCCAACCCTCCTGGAAGCCGGCAGGATGAGGCTTCCAGGCAGCCGGCGGGTGCAAGGGACGCTTGTAGGGCTTGGAACAAGGCTGTAGAACTTTCCTTACCTCTACTCAAGTTCACCCGCCACCCCCACCCATCATCCCGGGTGCAGGCCCGGATTCCATGTTTAGCCGGTCATCCTAGTGTCCGGGGTAAGCTTCTCTCTAAGGTGCGCCCGGGAGCCGGGAGAGCTCGCCGCGCAGCGTGCTCGCGGCCCCGCTGGGGCCGGCTGTGCCCAGCCTCGGGGTAGCGAGAGCCTCACCCCCGCCCTTCCGCCCGCGCCGGGAACCCCCTCCCTGGGACCGCTCTGGAGCTCTCCGGCGCCGCGTCTGGGCCGGGGACTGCTCCGCCCAGTCATGCAGCCTGAGGTCTGGCGTTCTGGCCGGGCCGGCTCAGAGGCCCGGGCGTGAGAAGCCTTTGGACCCCGCTGCTCTCTCGGGTTGTTCTCGGGGGTGGTTACGGGGGCCGAGAGGCGTAGGGGCGTGAGGAAGGAGGGACAGGGCCGGGGAGGGCGGGGGAGAGGAGGCGCGGGGAGGTCAGTGGAGCTGGGAGGGGGCTCAGGCAGGCGGCGGGCGCGGCCGGAGGAGAAAGAGGGCGCTGTCTTCCTGGCGAAGGATCCCTGGCCTGGTCGGCAGGAACCGAAACAAAAAAAAAAAAAAAAGAAGAAGAAGAAGAAGAAGAAGAAAGAAAGAAAGGAAGAGAAAAGAAAAGAAAGAACAGAGAAACAGAGAGAAAGAAAAGGAAATCTGCCTGGCCGAACCCCAGGAGTGAGGGATGCGCGGCGGGGAGGGGCGAGGGTGGTAGAGTCGAGTCTCAACCCACAGCCCAGGAACTGCTTCCCGGTGCGGCCTTGCCAGCTCCGCGTTGCCCCCAGCGGGACTCGCAAGAAGGGAATCTTTTTTGGCCTTAAAGGGGTCCCACAGTTGCCTTCCTTCAGGGCCATCCTCCCTCGCTTTCTCCCTCCGAAAACAGAGACGTTGGGGATAAGGTCTGCGACGCTTCACTGGCGAATGAGATGCCCCAGTTTGCCGGAGGCGAGTAAGGAGTTGGGGAGAATCCGGATCTACTTTTCCGGAGCGGAGCCCACTTTTCGGTTTCGTGAGTCCCGCGGCAAGAAACCGCGAAGCCAACCAATCCTTCACATCCAAGTGCCTCAGCAAGTAGTCTTACCTGGTTTGGCTGGGCCTTGCCCAGGTAGAAGGAAGAGATAGAAGTCATTCATATTTACTGTCACCAGTTGGCCAGGGCGCACACTCAGGAGACCAGAGGGCCCCGAGGACAATTACTATAAACCATTCCCCACCCAAATTCACAAATCTAAAAACTGAATTTATATTAAATCGAGAGAAACCGCGCCATTCCAAAAGTACATACTCCTCCTCTATCATCTACAAAGGAGACTGTGTTCTTGTCTTTCCATGCTCATAATAAGCCAGGCAAAGCAAAACAAAAGGATGTCAAACTCACTCATCTGTCTTGAAAGGTCCCTCTGTATTAATGGGCGTAGTTAATGGCCTCCCTCAGGTTTGTACATAGATACTAGAACCGATCATCTTCTTACATGTCCGCCACTAGAGTTTCAAGCTCCAGGTCCCATGTGAATTTCCTTAAGAGTTGTGAGTCTTCCATAGCTCTTAGAGCAGAATCCAGGTGGCCCTATAGTTCCGCCTTTAGCAAAAGAGCTATTTCCTAGGAGTAACTGGGTGGGCTGCAACCCGCCTGCCTCTTCACATTGAGAAACTTCTCTTGTGGGAACGTCTGTTTCTATTCATCCGATTTTCTAATTTCTTTGATCAGCCTAAATATTTTCTTGGCAAACGGAAATTGACCATGCCATGAATATGATAACAACCTGCTTGGAAAGAAGCTATTTTGTTTCCAAGCAGCAGGGGGAAAAAGCGGGGGAGGGGGGCGGGGATGTGTAGCTGGCTGGTAGGAATGCCTGTAACAGATTCCTGCACATACATCTTTTTGCAGTCTCTGAAGCAGCGTTATGAAAGCTGCCTTTTCCCCTTTAATATAGTTTCTTCTCTTTCTCTGCTCGCCTCAGATAAACACACACCTGGTCCCCTAAAAGTCTTTGATACTTTTTATAAAAAATAGAACTTCAATGGACGCCTCTGGAGAATTTCCCTTTAAAAAACATAGATGAAAGGCAAGGTTAATACAACGTTCTCTTAATCCCTTTGCCTTGTGAGTCAAAATAAATATTTTCTTCTGCATGTGATTGTATATCCTACCATTTGGCTGTGGCTATAAGCAAATCAACCGGTAATAAAAGTGTTTTGAGGCTGTGTATGAAATGCAATTCTCTTGAAATCAAGGAGTGGGGGAAGGGAGGAGCCTTACTTCACAGGCAAGAGTCGGTGGGTTTCTGAAAAAGCTGCAAGAGAAAGACCTTTCACCTCTCATTAGTGATGCCATCAGTGCTCGGGCAGAGTGGAGCTGAGGTCATGTTACATATGGCACACAGTCTGCTCAGCACTTGAAACGTCAGCTTTGAAATTTTAGAGAGGGGAAAGGTCATCTTTAATAAGCTAAAGTCTGGGGCTCCCATTGCCCTCATTGAAAACTGGGTGGGTGTCCATATGCTTCAAACCTTCTGCACAAGTTTTTTTTTTTTAATTTGCAGTTTTAAGCTGATTTTTGTTTCATATCTTCATTTGAGCTATTACGTTTTTTGCTGTTAATACTCCAAAAGGTGTTTCATTTTTATAGCAACTCTGTCATCTTTCCTTTTCTTTTCATGCAATAATAAAACTGTCCATTCTGAGTGATAGCTTTTTAGAATTCAACTTCCCAGGAGAAATGAAGTGTATCTGTCCATCTGCATACATGGATCCAGACATATGGGCTATAGAGTTACCCTTCTGAGTGGTAATTTAGACTTCACTTTTGTACACTACATAATTTACTGAACCTTTAAAACATTAAAACTTCCATATTATGTAAAAGCTCTAGTTTCTGAAGACTTCCTGGTACTACTAAAATTTTTCATGCCAGTTACTGAAATTTCACATTTTATTTTTACCATGTGGGGCAAACTCTCAAATCAAAATATACTGATTCTTCTATAAGGCTTAAAGTTAAGGCTAACTGACAGATGCTATAATGGTAGATACAGTACTAAAAAAAAGTGCTAATATCTCACTTCCTTGTTCAAAATATATTAGGAACATTTGTGAATGTTTAATCCTCAAATTTGTTCAAGAAGTGAAGTCAACCAAACCCAAGCCACTGAACTACCCCAGATCTCTTTGTAGCCACTGTCAATATGGATATAAATATTTTCCTTTCATGTCACTCTGCAAGGAACTTCTCAGTCGTGATTTGTCATTCATTCAGTTCCGGAAATTTTTTTTCCATATGGACCTACTGTCCTAGAAGAGCAGTCTCAGCACACAGTTTCACATGTTCCTCACTTTTCTTTATGCCTGTCAACCCATTTTATCTGTTTATATATCCCAGATTTTGGTTGTTTTTTCAAATTTTTTTCTTCCAAATAAAAATTACATATTTTGTCCTTATAAGATAAACTTTATTAAGTAAGCAACTATGTATAATAATCAGCTTCAGCCAGTAGACTCAATGATATTTTAAAACTCCTTCTCCTATTTCACAAATTGAGAACACTGGGAACAATCTTCAAACATCCTCTTGAGCCCATTAGGAGTTCCTCATTACTAAAAAATGTAATGATTATGATATGCAGATAGGTGTTGGTTTTGCTCTGGTTCTACTTAGGTTTTCTAAAATCCTTAATTTTGGATGAGCAAAAATTTACAAGAACAGTCTGCATGTTCCCAGTGTTCATAGTAGCACTATTTACAATAGCCAAGACATGGAAACAACCTAATGTCCATCGACAGATGACTAGATAAAGAAGTTGTGATATATTCATATAATGGAATACTACTTAGCCATAAAAAGAATAAAATAATGCTATTTGCAGCAACATGGATAGACCTGGAGGTTGTCATTCTAAGTGAGGGAAGCCAGAAAGAAAAAGAAAATACCATATGATATCACTTATATGTTGAATCTTAAAAAAAGACAAACGAACTTATTTACAAAACAAAAACAGACTCACAGACATAGAAAGCAAAATTATGGGGTAGAGGG